TAAAAATAAACTATCAAATTCTAAGAACTTTGTTTATTTAAAATAGAATTCTTCCTGCTCGCAGAGAAGTTCTCACTGGCGTACTTAATTCCGATTTGATTGGGTTTCATACGTACGATTATGCTCGTCATTTCTTGTCTTCATGTACTCGTATCCTGGGCTTGTCGACAATGCCAAACAGTGTATACTATGAAGGTAGACATGTACATGTTGGCACATTTCCTATAGGCATTGATCCGGATAAGTTTGCCGAAGTAAGTTTTGATTTTATCTATAACTTCACTTTATCACGTTTCCTATTTTAACATTATTTTCAATCAATAGGGTCTAAAAAATACAAATATTCAAAAGCGCATCAAAACTTTGGAAGAAAAGTTTAAAGGTGTTAAACTAATTGTTGGAGTGGATCGACTAGATTATATAAAAGGTGTTCCGCACAAATTTCATGCTTTGGAAGTATTCTTGAGCGAACATCCGGAGTGGGTCGGCAAGGTTGTGCTTGTTCAAGTAGCTGTACCATCTCGTCAGGATGTTGAAGAATACCAAAATTTGCGCACTGTTGTCAACGAGTTAGTCGGTAGAATTAATGGCAAATTTGGTACTGTAGAATTTCAACCAATTCACTTCTTGCACAAATCTGTTTCATTTGAAGAATTGGTAGCATTATATACTGTGTCAGACGTATGCTTAGTTTCATCAACAAGAGATGGTATGAATCTCGTATCTTATGAGTATGTTTCGTGTCAACAGGATAGACATGGTGTATTAATTCTCAGTGAGTTTGCTGGTGCTGCTCAGTCTATGAATGGTAAATATAATTATTTATTGTTCTCGCTTTATTTGCTTAATAATACGTAATTAGTTATATAATATACTTGTTTATTTTTTGGAAATATTCATTTAAAGGTTCAATCATTGTAAATCCTTGGAACATTCAAGAACTTTCTAATGCTATTCATGAGTCTGTCACAATGCCGGATCATCTGCGAAAATCAAATCATCAAAAATTGTATAGTTACGTTACCAAATATACTGCTGCTTATTGGGGAACTAGTTTCGTTAGTGAACTATTGGTAATTAGATGGTTTGATCAAATTATAAGATATAGTTATATATTATGTTTTGTTTTGTTTTCCCTTTTAACGTATTAACTCATTCAAAGGTATTTAAACTTATTATAGCGCGTTAGTAAGGAATTTAATTCCTATATGATCATTCCACGTTTGAAAATCAATCAAGTTGTTGAAGCTGCAAAGGCCTCCAAAAAAAAGAGAATCATCCTATTAGATTATGATGGCACCTTGACTTCTACTCATAAATTGGCAGAATATGCAAACCCTTCAAGTCACATTGTCTCTATACTCAAAACTCTTCAATCAAAACCTAACACGTATGTCTACATATTGTCTGGTCGCGGTCGTACGCATCTTGACCAATGGTTTGGATCGACAGGGATTGGTTTGTCTTCTGAGCATGGATGCTTCTACAAACACCCGAAATGTTTACAAGGAAAAGTAGATCCGATTTCAAACAGTTTATCTGAAGGAAGGTTTATTAAAGAAGAAAGTGATGAATGGTATAGACTTGTAGAGCAAATAGATCCTACATGGAAAGAGAATGTTCATAACTTGTTTGTGCATTTTACGGAAAGAACACCAGGTACTTTTATTGAAGAAAAAGATATAAATTTAACTTGGCATTATCGCAACGCGGATCTTGAGTTCGGTTCTTGGCAAGCTACAGAATTACAAGTCAATCTGGAAAAGCATTTGTGTCATATGCCATTATCAGTAAGTTTATTATTTTATTCCTATTTTAAAACTATTATTACTATCAAGTTATGTTAGACTATTATTCAATTAATCAATTTTATTTTAGATTATTTTGGGCAATAAAACCTTAGAAGTACGGCCTTTAGCTGTTGATAAAGCAACCGCAGTTCGAGCCATTATGAAAGATCTACAACTCTCACAAGATCAAGTAGACTTTGTACTTTGTGTCGGTGATGGACAGACCGATGAGCCGGTGTTTACCTTATTGAAAGAACATTTCCCCGATTGTTTTACAAGTACTGTTGAAAAGAAACAAACAGAGGCTAATTATTACCTTGGGGATGTTTCGGAAGTCCAACAATTGATAGAAAAATTAGCGTCGGAAAAAAACAATTGATGCATTTATTTGGTTATGGTATTAATGATGATAGTTCCTTGGAATAAGTAAGTAATTGTAATAGTGCTAAATGATTAACTAATTTATTTAAAATAATAATAACAGTGACGATATATTTGTATATCCGAATTATATGGGTACAGGAAAAGTGCCGCAATTTTTCGGATATTTAACCTATTTAATTTCATCCGGTAGTCACTCTTAAATATTCGCATTTTTTTCATTTTATATTTATAATTAAGAGTGATAGATTAAAACCATTGTTATCATCAAAAAGAGTAGATTAAACCAAATCAAACAACAAATAAAAAAAAATTAATAGTCGTGAATAAACAAGTATCACGTACCATGTTTATTGCTCCGAGAAAATCTTTAATTGCCCGAAGTGGAATGGAGTTTTTTATGCAATATCTTTCACTAAGGTAATGCAACCAACGAAATCATAAAAATGTTTATTTCTATATACTCATGTATTCACAATTCAATTGCCTCGATACATAACTCGTGCAGTTTGTGGATAAATCAAATTATTTTGGATCAGTTAAAGAAAATATGTAGAATAGTGGCCAACAGTAGCAAAGATTTCGTATATGGAATCTTTACTAGAAAATATCCTTCGAGATTTTCCGATCAGGCTAATTCAGAAAAACTTGGACCAATACCGGTTCTTATTCATATACCTTTTACTTATTGATTCGATATTTATTAAAAAACCTTCGAATCAATAAAGTAAATGATTTACATATGAATAGAACTGATATTCTGTTTAAGTTTTTCCGAATTAGCCTGATCGGAAAATCTCGAAGGGTGATTTCCTAGCAAAGGATCCCATAGACTTTTGAGTGAGGCCCTTAGAGTATGGAAATTTGTTTTTGACTGGATATTTCAAAGTATTATTATACAAGTTTTATATATATATTATTATATGATTGCGGTGGAAAATTTTTAATTCGAAATTTTATAGTCAAAGGGAACCTAGCTTTTATATAAATGTCTAAATCAAGTGAGACTGAATATTTCGCCAAAACTTTTATTAGAAGCGTATGACAATACCCACATGTAGTACGATATTATATTACAGTAGTATGTATCTTTAATTGTTTAATAATGTTATTTGAAATCAATGCTTGAAATTTCACGTGGGCAAGTAAAATAATTACTCATCAAATTCTATCGCTATCGTAATAAAAAGTTGAAGATATAAGTAATAGAAATACCTATATCGTAATGTTAAGTTTAAATTGGCTCATCCAGCGACGTTAAACTAGCATTGCGCTCTAGTATCAACCGATTGAAGAGTATTTAAATAAAATTAAAAAATATTAATGATATGATATGAGGTATATTTTATATACCGTACAACGCCCACCTGCGCGTTATTTCGAGTACAAGTATGTGCGTTATTTCGATAAATAGTATCATATAGTTCCGAAATTAAGCACCACCCCTCTACCCCAATTTTTTGAATCTCAGATTAGCGTGAGTAATTTGGCCAGCATGGTGGACAAACCCGAATTTGGATGATCGACATTGTGGCTTAGCCAATTTAATAAAAAAATTTTTTTTAACTT